AGGACTGTTAGTGGTTACCTGACTATTTGACAGAAAACATTTCCTCTCCTTTATTTAACCTTTGACTCATGACTGTAAAAGTTTTATCAGAGCTATGGTAGAAGCACCAGTGAGGTGGAAGTCTACTTACGGCAACAAGGGTTATGCCTGACTTTGAATAAAAGTCTGAGCTCCTGCCTTGTGGCTTATTTGGATGAAAAGAAAATGCTAAGTACGTTTTTAATTAACCATGAAATATCTTATGCTCTTGCTTTTGTGACAGACAGTGGCTGTACTTTTAAAGAAAGACCAGTGCATTCTCAAGCATGGAGTACATACCTATTGAAATAATATTGCGTGTGTTTCGGTGTTTGTCTGTATCATGGGAAAAATGTTTTGTGGCAACTTTACAGAAATTGTTGTGTGTTGTTGGAGGTTGTTGTATGTTTGTCTTCAGTGTTTGTTTCTCAAACAATTACTGATTGTAACATGAAGAGTGCAAAGCCAATGTTTGCAATTAAAGAAAAATAAACAAGGAACCAATAATGATTTAGTAGTTTAAGAATCTATTTTTTTTTAATTTCAAGTTTAGGCTTCTAAATACATTAAAATTGAAAATTAAAGCCCTGTTTTTCCTCTGTTTTATCTACTGAGAAAGGGCTTCATTGATAACCTTTTGACATTTTCATAAGACAGCTAATTAAATACAAAATGCAGTGCTCATCAGTAATGTTGTTGAATACATGTATGTTGGTAAAGTCTTTCTAGTAATGGACTTTGATTTTATCCATTGATAAGTTACATTTTAGTACATATTAGTGTGATAGTTTTGAGTTATAAGTAATATAGTACAGGTCTCCTCTGTTAAATTCAGCCATTCAAAACCATTTTTTTTTGCAGAACATGCATTTCTGTACTGACTTGAAAAATGTTCCCTGGCTTTACAGATGTTGATGGAAGTGTGTGTGCTCAATGACTTTTCTGTACATAGACTAATCCTCTGCTAAACAGAGATTAAAGAACTTTGTAAGATCTGCTAGCAGGATAACCTGGGAAGATTCTTTGACCTGTAATACTTACGGTTTTTTAGCTATCTCATACACAAGTGCCATATACAGTGCTTTACTCAATAAAATATACTGAATAAAGATGTAAAGCATATATCATGGGAATGCTCATCTGTGAATAAATCTGTTTACTAGAGTACTCCGTATAAATTAATGGGATTATTAACGCAAGTGTTTGCAAAGTCAGCCAGTGATGTAAGAGAACAGTCTTGAGGATGTTACAAAATAAAAAGAGCTTATGCTTGCTCTTTGAACTGAGGCTCTGAAATACCACCTAACTGATAGCTGTCTTTATTATGAACACTACTGTGTTTATGTTTACTTTTGAATGAGAAAAGATGCATTGTATACACACACACAAGTGCACTCTAATATTTATGTAACAAAAGTAACAGTTCTTTATTATACTGAAATAATAGCTATTAGCAAATACATAAAGAGAAATATAGAGGAAACTTTTTTTGCTTTGCAATAGATCATTGTAGTGTTTTGTTGCAGTAGGAACAGTATAATTAAAATACTGGCAAAATCTTTTGCAATTAAACCATGCTTCTGAAGATCTGAAGATTATGTGGATATGAAGCAGAGGACAGGTCTTGGTAATGGACTGTAATGGAGCTCTTGTTCTGATTTCCTTAATTTTTCAGATTTAAGAGGCATGTTGAAATTATATTAACCTCGTGTCTGTGGTTATAAGGCTTAAAGCAATCCTTTTTCCAGTGTTTCAGCTCAGAAGAAAACTGGCATTTTAAAACCATCTTCAAGTAGTCTGTTTTTACAATGTTTTTCTTTGCAGTTTTGTTACGTGTGGACATGGAAGTGTATCATCAGCCTGATTTTGCTAAGGGAAGAAATTCTTGTATGTGTAATCTGGTCAGCATGCCTTGCCATATGAAAGAAAACATCTCCCTTGGCTTTGTGCTAGGGTTCATTAATTTCAAATAATGGATTTGACCTTTTTATGCATAGACTTCAAAATTGCATCAATTCTTTTCTTTTCACAGTAAAAGGGGAGCTGAGATCTTAGATACAAGGAAGAAATATGATTAACATTTTATTGAAGTAGGAGCATTTATTTTTATGGCATACTGTTCATAAATGTTCATTATGAAAAATGAATGATCAGATTTTGGATTATTCTACAGCAAGATGTGCTGGAGTGGTGTGCATCACTAGTGCTGAGGTGATAGCAAAAGACTGGGAAGCTGTTAGGTAACCGAACCTGTCTGTGTACCCAGTGGTGTACGAGTACTTTGTAATTTATACCTACCTTGTCCCTCGACTCGGACAGCGTTCCAGTCCCTGCTGCAATTGTAGGCTGGTTCAGTGGCTCTGACATTTGCTGGTACTCTGAACACTGTGGTGAACAATTCTGTTTGCCTATCTATGCAGTGTTTCAGCGATGTGTAGAACCGGGTTAACATGATTTCAGAAGGTACTAGAACAGCAGTCCCAGGTGGAAGAAACTAAAAGATCAGATGTTTTAGGTGCTGTTATGGTGAGTGTTTTACAATGCGTGCAGCATTCATGCCTGTAAGCAGTGAGTGACCTTACACAGGTGCAATGAGGTAAATTTCATTATTATATAAGAATATATTGAAAAGCAAATGCAATAATGTCACACCTTCACTACTGTGAACAATACCAAGCATTAAAAATGTCAGTAAGTATTAAGAGCTTGATTTAGTTTTGATTAATAGCTAGTACAGTGTACAGTAAAGTGTGATAAAGGCATTAATACAGTGGCTCTGAAAGAAATCATTGCCTCTGTCTCTTTGGGTTGGCAAGAGTAAATTCACGATGGGTGTGGGTTACACAGCAGTTATGCACTTATAAGGATAGCAAAGTAAGACTGCTAGAAAATGCATAACTATAACAGTGTTTGGATTTCTCCTCTTGACTTTCTTTGCCCTGAGAATTGTCGTCTGTTTCTAAAGCCTTGCCAGCTGCGTAGTGAGAACAGAGGTGTTGCTAAGAAAACAAAGTGTGTAGTATTGTTGCATATGAATATGAAATGTAGTAAAAACATTTCAGGCTTTATTTCTTCCCCAGCTACCCTTCTAATCTTAAACAATTAATATTAACCAGAACTTTAGCCATGTTCTTTGTCATAAAATTCTAACAGGTGTGAGAAGATGTGTAATTTGTAAATAAGGAATAATTTATACTGGTACTATTTATTTTACAAGACTTACTACATCTGTATCATAGGCTTAAATAGTGATTACGGGAAGTTCTGTAGCATGTGGTCGCTGATGATGCCACTGTTAAAGGTAACTATTCTGTAAATAGATTACAAAAAAGTGGAACTGATGGCACAGTGTTTGAGTTTCTTTTCTGATGCTCTTCAGTTACGTCATTTATCCTGGCTTCTGTTTAACTCACTGAGAGCATTGCATGCATATGAGCTGCAGACTTGTGTTAAAGTCTTTAAAGTATTCATGTATTATTGTGCTGTGTATTTACAACATTGGTGAATGCTCTCTTATTTTTAGAAACTGTAATGACAGAAATGACTTTATACAGAGACCAGTGTTCTTACATGTAAAGTGACATCTATACTGTTGCCTAGCATTGCATCACTTCTTAAATATGGGGTACCTGATCAGCCCAGGTAAAATTGTGTTTCATTCTTCAGGGAAGCAGCAGTCCCGGCAGTCCACTGGGTACGAATTTCAAAATTGCAAATAACATAACTACTGAAAGCCCTAACAATTAAAGATAATGGGAATGTGATATGACAATGTTTAAAATATTTTTTGGTGCATTTATAATGTAGATAAGTGAAAATATTGTGAGTTAGTCTATGCTTAACGGAACTTCAAGTAGGTATTCAGCGTAAAGAAATACAGCTTTGCTACTATCTGTGTTGTACCATGAAATTTGTGAGAAGTTTTACATGCATTTTATTTACATGTAGAAATATAAAATGGGCAGGTCAGATAAACAGTAGCAGTATTTTATAAGCACTGGAAAACATATATTGATATTGTATTAAAATGTTTTTTTACTTCCTGTTTTAGTTACCTACCATGGTTTGAGGTATACTACAAGCTCCTAAATACTCTGGCAGATTATTTGGCTAAAGAACAGGTAATTTTAGATACTTTATTTCTTTGTGTAAAATAATTTCCTTGAAATAATAGTCACCATTTAAAGTGCTGTAAAGTGACTCTACTGTTTAAAAGTTTAAAATTTTAGAAGAATTTAGAAGCAAGTTTTTACATTCATACACGCTGAACATACAGCTGCCACTGTCACTTGAATCACACATTAATCTTAAATAAGCTACTGGGAATATACCTTTATAAAGTGTCAGTCTTAGCATAAACAAGTGCTGGGTGAGGTGTGAGCAAAGTGTCACATCACGGGAGATCTGTATGACGTATTGATTGTAAACTGTAGATCCCTGCAACTATCTGATTATCAGTTACAAACACTTTTTTTCAGAACTGCATAAAATACGATGTACTGTTTCACCCTTCATATTAACTAAAAACTACCTCTCGTAATTCTGTCATCTCAACTAGCAAGACAAATTTACTTGCAGCATTTGGTGAAGAATCATGATAGTTTAGTTTGCATATTCATGAGCAATTAGACATATTCCATGATTATGCAGGAAAGGAAATACTGGCATCTGTCTTTATTGAGAACATTAAAGCTATACCTTTCTGCTTTAACTGTATTAGTGTACTAGATTGTAATTAAAAAAAAAAAAGCATCAATAGTCAGCCATATGCTGTAGACTGGAAAAGCTGACATTTCAAGAATATATGAACTATAAAATAAGCAATTATTGTGCATTTTTGTAAATGGACTAAAGAAAATGATGATATTTTATGTGAAAAAAAATGCAGTGGGAAAGTTTGGTGTTAACTGTGTTTAAATAAGTTGTGGAGTGCGTTAAAGTCTTATAGATGGTACAATGAGACTTTGGTTTTGGCCCTGATTTCACTGTAATGGTAAAAACTGTTTTTAGGGTTGCATTTGAGAGAAAAGATAGGAATTGTCTTCTCTTTAGTTTCTTGATCACTGGTTCTGCCATTGCAGCAATTACTGCAACCAGTTGAAGTTGCCGAGTGTTGAGTTTGTTGCCCTATATGCTGAGAAAACTGCTGTGATGGGTCAGGAACTTTAACAGCGTAGGGACATATTTTGTTGTATTGCCTGGTACCCTGTGTTGCTGAGGGGGCTTTTAGGGGACACTGCTCCCTCCCTGGCCCAGGCACTGTTCATCTGACCCAGGAGCTAGACCCAGACTCCTGTTTACTGCTGTGAGACCCAGTAGCATCATCGTTCTTGCAGGGAGAAGCAGAAGTGTGTTTAAAAGCTGTCCCTGGCTTGTTGCTATTTTTGGTTTTACTTTGACAACAAAAAGAATTTAATCTCCATGAGTGAAAACCCTAAATAAACAAAAACTCCAGCCGTACCTCCTTCCCCAGTAAACTTCTCTTTTAGAGGTCGAGATACAGATATAGATCGAGATAGAGATATTGACTTGCAAATGCAATAATTTTCAGAGATAAGAAGTTTGCCTGGATTTTATACTTAATTTTTAAACACTTCACTGTAAATTGCAATTGTCTTTCTCATTAAATACATACATACATATCTCTATCTATCTATCTATCTATCTATCTTTGTCAGTATATGGTTTGATGTGTAGTAAATTATAATAATTCAGTTTTTATACAACGATTAACCACCTTTTAAAAATATTCCTTATAGGAAAATGACTCAAATGATTTGTTAAAATCATTGTATAACCATCCTGTGCCAAAGGCGAATGCTTTAGTCAGTTTAAGTGTGGTAAGTATTCTCTGTATTACTCCTACTCCAATTACTGACTATGAAATAGTAGGTATGGTTGAAATGTTTGAAACAAACAAGCGAACAAACCTTTGTAAAGAGTAAACTTATGTTGCTTCCCATCATTAATGGGCATGGACAACCTCTTTTTTTTTTTCCTTTGCAGAATAGTTTGTCTCTGTCACATGTTGTTCTCATAAAGTCATAGTCATAAAGAAGCAGAAATTTGAATTTTGCTCTATGGATGAGAAAGTAAACTGCAGTGGAATTTGGCAGTGCTAGAACTACTTTTTTGTGCTTCCAGCTCTTTCGTGTGGACAATTTAGGTTTCTCCTGCTGTGAATTGGGAGACACTAACTCTGTTTTATTGCCTCTTATTTCTGAGTAGATAGACTTTCAGGACTGGGCAAAAATCTGTGTAAGCTGGCTTCTTTCCAATCTTCCTTCCTTTTCTTCCTGATTTTCCTTGATCATGCAAAAATGCTGTGAGAAAGATGGTAGAAGTATCCTATGTTACATTAAACTTTCGGTGTCTGTAGGTGGAGGAGCGTGTCCATGCCTACCTGGCTTTCCTGCACTGAGTGTTTGCGGTGTGGGGCTGGACACTGATAGTGTGGCAAGATGATGTCAAAGAAGTGAGCCTGTCACTGTTACAGTTCCTGAAGTTTTTAACAGAAAAAGCAATATGGATGCATGCTTAAATACATTTGTATAGCCTGTGTGAAATGTAGAGCCGATACAGAGCCCCTGCTGTCTCCTAGTCATTGTTCATGTTCACAGCATCTTTGCAGTTACTGCACACATAAATAACTGTGTGCAAGTAACTGTTTCTTGTTGGAACTATCACAGTTTTCAGGGCACAGAAAGAAGGGATTTTATAAAGGCTTCCCTTATGCACATACTGAAAGATTATTAGGTTCTTTACCTTATTTGTGTAATTTCCTGTTACTTTTAACTCACTTATTTTAGAATTGAGCCCAGTACTTTGAGTAAAGTAAGCACAGACTCTGGAAAAGTGTCTGACCCTATCACCAAGGCATACAGAAGTGGAGAATCTGCCACTTCTGTTCTGGTAGTTGCTCGCCCTTGCTGTTTAACATAATGCTACCTTTATTTTATTTTAATTTGTCGTTTTTCATATTCCTTGTTATGCCTTTTTCACTAGTCTATAGAGGCCTGATATTTTTCTCCCTTGAACAGTACTAATCCACTGTGTGTGGAAGTCCTTCCAGTCTGTGGTTAAAAGATTGTAAAAGATATTTTATTCTTTTTTATTTCTTGCAAAATTGTGCTGCCTGTTGCCATCAGTGTTGCAGTTTATCTTGCTCAGAACTTGCCTACCTTGGAATGACTGTTGTGATGAACCTGGAAATGGATGTTGTGGTGAATACAGCTGGCAACACTGGGATGACAAATTGCTTGCAATAAAGTTGCTGCCTGCTGGTTTTATTTCAATATTACCTGACTTATGAATTTATTTTTTTCTCAATTGTCTCTTGCTCCCAATAGCTTGCTACATCAAAGAGTAATATAATCTTTTTAGCTGAACAGTGTTTATCTAAATGCAGGCTTCTTGCCAAATGCTTGGCTGCAAGTACAGTCGAGCAAATATCGTGGGTTCAGATGGGCAGAGCAGGTAGGAATAGGTTAGCCTGAATCAGAATGCTTGTTGCATCTGCAGCCATCTCTGTTTTTGTAAAGCTCCATGCTACAGCGAGCAGGGAAACACTTATGGCCACTTTCAACTCTTAACGCTGTGTCCCTAGCCTTTTGTATTGATGTCCCTTTCTTGCTTCTCATGTATTGTAAATAGGCTGGACTGGAACCATCAGTAGTAATAGACTTGAAAAGAAGTGACAATCTGAAAAATAATTGTAGAAATGACAGCATGAGGTGGGTTTTCATTGTATCAGGATGAGTCTAGTTCAAATTTCATGATGCAGAATTAAAAAGATCCCTCTCCCATTTACTCAGGTATGCAGGGTAAGGCTCATAGACATTGAAACAAGGTTTAAATGGCAGACCACAACAGTGCTTAGGATTGCATATGTATAATTATGCCTAAATTTTGCCCAGTATCTGGATACATGATGTTTCCCAGTAATCCTTGGTCTGTAGGACGCCAAAATGTCTTTGGTCCACTTAGGGACCAAAGTTCTACTCTTGCCTATCAGTACCAGTAACAAATACTCTGCAGCTGAAATTTATGAGGAGTGATGGTTTGTTCTATGTAACTTGAGCTTAAATATTTGGGTCACTTTTGTTTTACCCATGGAGGGCTAAGAAAAGTGGTTTTTTTTCTGTTGTTGGAAAAGCTAGCCAAATCAAGTATGACTTCAAAAGGGGGGAGAAATACAAAGAATAAAACTTATTTTCAGCCAGTATTTTAAACATGGAATATTACAAGCATTAGAGTCAGCTTTGGCCTATTTGTTGGAAAACTAAAAAGTCAATTGTTCAATCTTTCTCTCATCTTGCATAAGAACCAAGGAATGATTTTTGCAAGTGAGCAAGTTTTGAAAAAACAGCCTTGTCTTGTATCGGTGAGTTTAAAAGGCACTGACTGTCTAAAGTCTATTGTAATTAAAGAAATAATTAATTGCTATAGGATATCTCTTGATTTCAAGCTTATTTATACCCATCCTTTGGGAAATTCTGCTGTTAACTTTAGCCTAAAAGAGCAGTCTAATGTTAATATACCTATTCTGTTTAAATCAATCTAATTTCAGAGCTATATGTGTGTGCGTCATTATGCTTTCATAAAAACCACAACCAAAATCAAACTCTCAAACTTGAACAAAACTTGCATTTTGTAGTGTCCCTTTTTAGAGAAAACTTGATACAGGACAGCAACTATTAATTTAGTGTCTTCTCCAAGGTCATGCATCTTCCTAAGGGAGTTCACAAAGATGTGCAAGGACTACATACCGCGTTATTTTTGCTGCTTTATGATTCTTAATGACTGCAGTAATGGGTCTTTGCTTCTCATAGTTCTGAATTCCTTTTCTGTTTAATGAGTGAAATATTATTACTTTGTTAATTATAAATAATTACTTCTCTAAGTTATTAACTTCATTACTCAGGAATCTTTTGATAAATATTCAGTGACCTTATTACATATAGAAAATAATTTTCTGTTCTCGCTATGCTTCTGAAGAATGTAGGCATTCCACTAATCTGAGTATTTTCCTCTTCTTGACTATGGAAAAAAAAAAATCATAGCTTTTTTTCTCTGTTGATGCAAAACAGTAACCTGGGATATTTATTGTGTGAGTGCTATGATGTTTATGGGATGCCTTTTTTTAAGCAAATTTTTTTCTTAAATTTTTAATTATTGCCAAATGACCTAATTTGTGGGAAGAATTTTCTGTTAAATGTATCAAGCTGGTTTAATAAGTCTCCTACACAGAGTTAATAGTATTATTTTTTTTTTCCTTGAACGCAAGACACATTTAATGTCTTATAGACTTCCTTTATATTTTGGTATATCTTTTTCAAGTTGGACTTGAAAACAAACTCTGTCTTTGTGTTGTTAATTATAATTTTAAAATACACTATAAAAATGAAGTCTACCAAAAATGTCAAAATTCTGTTAAAAACAAATAAAAGTTAAAAAGTCAATAATTATCACATTTACTTAGTATGCACTTAAGGTTTTTTTGTCGTTCAAGATTTAGACTAATATGCAAAAATGCCTTAAGATTACTGAGCTAAATCTGTGTCTGATAACTACTAAAAGCACTGGATTAATGAGAATCATTTAAATTACATCTGGTTTTAGTTTAATCCATTTTATATTTACATCCTAAATGGCCTCAAACAAAGATGCATAAAATTGCTAATGTATTTCATAAATGATTGCAGAAACTCAAGCTGTCGGACCTCGCATTTCTGTTAGCACATTTTTTATTCAAAGATGTTTGGAAAGAAAAGAGCATGCATATCTAGTAACAATATTTCTCTTCTAATTAATTTTCTCACCTGATTAATTTTTCCTTTTCCATTCTAAATATACATTTTGTCCTTTAAAATATTTTCGTTGCAATTTTTAAATCAATGCTTAAGTTGATCAATGCTACTTTCAGGCTTGTGACAACATTTAAAACTAGCTTAATTTCAGTGTTATTTCAAAATTGCAGCCCAGCGTTTTGTTCCCTTGGTTTGTGTGCTGTGCTGAACCAGAGCTTGTCATTTTCTGTCGTGATCTGCTTAATTCTTTGTCTGGTAGTGGTAAAAATACTATTGGAAAAATGGCTATTTGCTTAAACAAAGATGGAACTGGAAATCCTAAATGCTGGATTTCTTTAAAAAAGAATTTTTTGTTTCTGTGTGCATAAATTATTAATTATTTTTCCCTATTGATTAGCACTCGTATTTCATTACTCCTGATATAACTGGATTGCCAACAATCCCGGAAAGTGTAAGTATGCAGTTTCTTTTTAAAATATTTAGAAGTATCAACCTCATTCTGTGGGTAGGGCTGAACTCTGCTTTTATCAATAGGAGATGTTTTTTTTTCAGGACTGTTTTTAGAAAATGATTGATGTCTGTTATTACAACCTTTAGATAGTAGTTACTGTTCCATTCATCATTAACCCATTTTAAAGCCTTAACAGAGCATTTTTGACCACTGCTGTATCCACCCTTTGTTCATAATTGCTTGACTTGTTTGCATTTATTGGGATTATATATGCAAAATATATTCTACTTCTGCACCTCGTGTTACTTGAATTGCCTACCCTTTAAACACTGCATTGCTAAGCTGCAGATTCAGCTATCAAGATATGCCGTTATTTTTTTGTGTAAGAAGGCATTGTTTTAGGCTTTCTGAAAATATGCTGTACGTGCCCACATTTGGATGGTAACCATGCATCAGGAATGTTTTTATTATTACTATTTTTTTTAATGAAGACTTGCATTCTGTAGATGCTGAATCCTTGATGTTGTGGGTAGATTGCAAATGTGAAATCTCAGATTGTTTTCTGTATAATATATTTAGCTGGATATCATCTTATAAAAGAGCTTCTAAGCTTTCCGCTTTCCAATCTTGCATTTAAGTCTGGAATTGAAGACAGCTGTGCATTTTTTATGCTTTCAAATAGTAACTTCTGAAAGTTCGGCTGTTGTGGAGTGATTCACCACAGTACAACAACATGCAGTGCAGAAAGTGTAACAGAAGCGTGTTCATAGCCCCTGCAGTGGTGTGTTGGTGAGGCAGGATGGGGAATGCACCCCGATGGCCCACTCACCACCTCCACACTGAGGGTGAGAGGGGTGGCTGTGCCCCTCAGCGTCCTGGGCTGGCAGCCAGAGGCTGTGCCCCTCGGGATCCCAGGCTGGCAGTGGGTCCTGGGCTGCTGGGTGGGATGAATGAGGGAAGGAAACGGAGCCATGTGAGCCCTGGCCTGGGAAGGCCAGCCTGGAGAGGAGCGGAAGGATGCTCGTAGCAGAGAGGAGGCCTGTGGGTACTGCAGTGATGGGAGTCTGTGCCAGGGCCCAGAGGAGATGTGGCCCTTGTTGCAACCCAGAAAACTATGGAAAGTACCTGAGTAGAGGAGTAAAGCAGAGAACCCGTGTTGCAAGAGGAATTCTCTTGGTCTAGCTTATTATTTGGGGTTCTACTAAAACATAGTTTTGGTTAGAAGATGTGTTATGTGTTCAGCTTGAAAAAAATGGGGGTATACTTCACTCTGGACCTCTGGTTGAGGATCTTGCAGTGGTGGTGCTGTGGGTTTATTTTGCTGATTCTGTGGGAGAAAGAAATCCATCCAGTATGAGTGGAATTAGTATGGTACAAGTGAAGGGTTAGAGCACGTAGGGAGTGAAGAGATGAGGTAATTACAGTAAATTGACAATAAAATGAATTTTCCTTATTCGTTGTTGTAAGCTTCATGTATTTGAGGGGCAGTAACTTTCAGATCTAATACAGAAATAACTGTGACTGTCTCACAAAGATATATTGTTCTGTACAAAGTTACAGACTGTTTTTACCCCAGCTTTTGCAACACACAATAAGTATGCCATTTTCACCTACTCTGTGAGGGGTGTCCAAGGTAAACTGGATTCAAATTATTGTGGTGCATCAGCCTCTGTCAACTGGGTAAACATGGCACTTGAAGGATCAGAGCTTTTTTAAATCAAGTGTTTGTAGCCTTAAAACTCTTGCTGTCATCTCTTCCATAAGTTTATGCAGCATGGACCAAGATAATTCTATACACAGTTTCTTCGAATTAATAATGCTTTTCTGAATTTACATGAAACCGGATCATCCACTGGATCTTCTTTCTTTTTTTCAATATCTTTATTTAATATTGCAATATATCCAAAAGAAGGTCAACCTTTTAATCATTATCCAGGCTTTAGTTAAAGTTAGCTTTTATACAGTAGAGTCTGTAAGGAAATAAACCAGCAGCTGGTGAACAACAGCTCTGCCCGATGCCGTGCTCCCTGGCTGCGGAGGGCTGTGAGATGGAAAGGCCGCAGATGGCCACCATGTCTTGGCTCTCTTCAGGGTGGGCAGGCATTCAGGGGGGTCTCCCTGCTCTGACACCTTTACCACTTGTCTGCCCTTGCAGTTTTTTCACAGATGCAGTACCTTGCTGCCTTGTGTTGGTCACATCCAGTATAGACTGACGCTTCCACTGCTCACATTTCCATCCTTCAGTTGAGTCATAGTGTTAACAGACCTCCTACATTAACATTCAGTAGTATGTTGCTCCTGAGAAGAGATGAGTAAGAGTTCCGTTTGCAGACACAATAATGAATGTGTGAAATTAATTGCTTTGTATATTGTGAGGTGTATTAGTATATTTTCATACATATTCTCTAATGTTTGCAAAAATCTTCTGTTTTCCTAGGCATTTTTGCTGGTAGCTGTTTTAGCTTTCTCGTATTGCTTGTATTTCTCTGGCACTATCCCATGCAAAAATACTACTAAGTTCAGCTGGAACATAGAGACGCTCCCCTCACTTTTTCTCCTTTTCCATCACTTCTGTATTGTCTGAACTATAAATAAGAGGTCTCGATGACTTTGCTTTTCATTAAAACCCACAGTGGGGATGGTAGTGGGGTTCTTATCAGGCCTGAAAAGGGTGGCTGGCTGCAGGAAGGACCCAGGACCTTCTGCTGGTGCTGCTGGATGTTTGATGTCCTGGCACATACAGCTCAGGCAAAAGCTTGGTGCTTTTCAACAAGCTGTTTTACTGTATTTGAAGTACAGAATCACAGAACATTAGGGATTGGAAG